GTTTCTACAAGCAGATAAAGAAAACAAAGCCCCAGGAGTCAAGGCTCAAGGTGCCCGGGTCAAAATCAACTTCTCACTCTTAACTGAGCTCACTTCTCCTTCCCGTCTGACCCACCCGTCATAAAACGTGAGCACCAAGCATCCTGTGCTGGTCACCGCCATGCCTGGCATTAATATTATGCACAGAACTAAACCCAAAACACAGACACGGTAAAATCCTTAACAGATGGCATGTGACCCCACTCCAAGGGTCCCCTGAACAAACTACGTAAGAGGGCTCAGCACCTTCCAGCCATTTGTCCCAGTTAATGAAGGCGGCCTCTGAATTACGAGGCGAACTCTGTCAACCACTCACAAATGAAGAGGTGGGAAGCTAACGGGAGATGTGCTGAAAAGAACAGTCTTTCCCACTTTAGAATCAAATTAAAGGAAGAAAAATTCTGCTTTTTAATTACGCCAATTTGGCCTAGAAATGCTTCACTTTTTTAAATTGTCATTATCTCTTACGTAGAGAAACTTGCAGCGTGAAACTTGGCTGGCCCTTCTGGCCACAAGAACCAGCCTACCCGCCTTCCACTATTCCTCTGTTCTCCTCCAGAGCAGGGAACAACGAACGTACCATTTGCACCTTTCTCTGAAATGTAAAAGTGATTGATTTGATTCTGTGTGCAATCCCAACGTTTTAAAAACCCTCTACCTCAGATCAATTCTAGAAATAAAGGCTAAATGTGAATCTGAAACTAAAAATAAACTCCACCCCTGCCCTCACCAATTTGTAGATGGAAAGAACAGTTTAGCCTAATCCCATTGGCAGCAAGCAACCCCTAGATCCTTCCCCTGCAGAAAAGCAAGGTCACGGAATGAACCAAGTGGGCTGATGGCCTGGGACCCAGTTAGACTAATGGAAACAGGGGTTCCAAGTGTTTGTTTCTTCAAAAAATCTAAACATTGATATCTATCATCCTTTCCGGCTGGAATGGCGAATAAGCCAGACATTTAAGACAGGCCATGAGTCACGGGTTTCAAAAAAGAAATTCCTATTGTTGCATACTTTTTATCAACGTTTAAAAAGCAATGGAACAGCTGTTGCTGTCAGTAACCTACACAGAAAATGTGCACATGAACACACACCCTCCGCTGCACATGCGCAGGCGCTGTCTGGACATGGTGATGCACCGGCAGCTTCTCTGCTCCTGGTCACACCGCTGGGGCCCAGGTTCCTGGACGATCAGACAGGGAAATGGGGAGCAGGTGTGGTAGGCAATCATCCCTGTTCCCTGGCATGCAGACCCTGCCACCTCCTCCCCTTAAGTGTGGCCTGGCCCTCGTAAGTTGCTTCTAACCAACAGAATGTGGTCAAGGTGATGGGCTGACACTCCAGTGATCAGATTACAAAAGATCGTGCCTTCTGACCTGCCCGCTGATTCTCTCCCTGGCGGCTCTGATGAAGCAAGCAGCCATGTTGGCAAGACCCAGAAGCAAGGCATTGAGGGTAGCCTCTAGCCAACGGCCAGCAAAGAATGGACACCCTCCTTCCAACAGCCACTGAGGAACTGAATTTTGCCAATGAGCTTAAAAGCATGTGAGTGCGGAAGCAGAGCCTTCCCCAGTCAAGCCTTTGGATGAGACCCCACTGTGGTGAAGCCTTGACTACAGCCCTGGGAGAGATCCTGAAGGAGAAGATGCAGTAAACTGTGCCAGATTCTGACCCACAGAAACTGTGCAATACTAGATGTGTGGTGTTTTAAGCTGCTGAATTTTGGGGTGATTTGTTATGCAGCAGTAGATGACTAACATAGCAGGCAACCCAACAACTGGGTTAGCCTCCTGATGCAGGCTGTCACCATGGCATCCTGCCATACCCTCCTCGGCACCATGACATCCACCATTAGAGAGTAAGGGCCTCACTTCTAGGTAAAAGTGCCAGGTCCCAGAGGGTAGGCACTGGGTGGGCCTTCATCCTTCAGGGATATGTATATGCTCAGCACCCAGCACAGTGCCCAACATGTGGTCAGGACTCAATATCTGAATTGATGAACTAGCTCTGTTGAGGACCAGAAAGGTAAGAAATCTTCACTTTCAGTTCCTATAAGACAAAGTATTTGTTCCAAAAAGCAAGCAAACAAAACAAAACATGGTGACTACTTGGAAGTGCTATCTTGTGGCCCTTGATCCTCCTAAAGGAAGGCAGACTTTGACAGGTCCAGCTCCTGGCTCGCTATCTTAACCTGGGCGGCACCATGACCCTCCCCATTCAAAGGCTTGCCTGATGGCGCTTATGTCCTCAGAGGTAGAATCAGGACTGCAGGAAGAGAGGGACACATGTAGGGAAGTTGACTCCACTCTCCAACAAGAGAACCCATGGTCTTTACCTTTGTCTTCACTGATCTCCCTGTCCAGAATGCTTCTTCCTTTCAACCACGTTCCTTCTTTGTTGACTTGGCAAACTCTTACTTGTCCTTCAAAACCCAGCCTGGCTTCAGCTCCTCCACCATAGCTTTTCCCCACCTGAAGCTCATTCCCTCTTCTGAGCCACTTCTCATCTTCCCTCTTGTTCCAGCTGAATCCACAGACCGTAACAACCACAGCAATTCCTGTCTTGCAACCAGCCGTGAGTTCCCCATGCCCGGGGCCTAGAACACGGCTGACACACACCAAACAAGCCCAGACACAGACCGGTTCCCACTGCTCTATACCCAGGGAGTGACAAAATGTCGCAGTTTTCGCTCTCTTGGCCCCCTGAGGTTGAGGCGCAGTGTGACCTTCTTCAGAATGAGGAAGTAGGGAGATGTGACAGGAAGACATTCGGTGAGCAGAAAGTGCACTCATGAGAGAATGTTCCAACCTTGTGAACTGCAGCTGGGGGCTCTCTGGGGGAGGGAGGCAGAGCAGCTGTGAAAACACCTCAGTGGGCGGCGAGGGGTCACTTAGTCACTGAGCCTTTCCTTTCAAGGCTGACAGTTACATAATCATGTCTACACAAGAGCACCACTGGTTTGTGTCAACTATTCTCAGACTGAGGGGGACCCGCCCACTCCGTGAGCAGAAGGGCCAAACTCCTGCCTCCAAAGCATGGGAACTAGCAGGTAGGATGAGGCGAGCTGCTCCAAGGTCAGTGTCTGCCTCAGAACTGGACCAGATGGATTCCGGAGGCTGAGAGGAGAACAGAACCAGAGTGGAACCATCTGGGGCATATAGATGTGCCTTATGGTGTAGCACCAAGAGGGCTGCTGGGATGGAGACGGAGGGGGATAATCCAGCTCCCCTCTGACCAGGTCACACTGAGGGCCGCAGGGGCCACTTTGAGAACTCCACGGAAGGGACACAGAGATAAATTCAGGGAGGAGCGAGCAGGGCAGGACTTTGAGGCATGTCCTTCCGGGGACAACAATGTGAAACAAACGAAGCAAGATGTAAGACTCTATGTACTTACAATTGTGTGTGTACACACACACACAAACACACCACTTAGCTGCACAGGTAAGCAGTCTGGAAGAAAATACATCCAATATAAATAACAGCTATCTGGTGGGAGATTGTAGGTGCTTTTTATAATAGTTTTCATTTATAGCTTTCCAGTGTACTTCCTAAAATTTCTATAACAAACATGTCTTATTATCATCATTGGCAAGGATGTGAGGCCAGGAATGCATGCCCATCCAAGGAAGGTACTCACAGAGTCTATTAGATTCCTAGGGCTGCTGTAACAAACTACCACTATCTCATGGCTTGTCACTGCAGGAATTTACTCTCTGACACTTCTGAAAGATGCAAGTCTGCAATCCTGGTGTCAGCAGGGTGGGCTCCTACTGGGGGTTCCAAGGCAGGGTCCATCCTAGGCTTGTCTCCAGCTGCCAATGCTAGCTGACAACCCTAGGTATTCCTTGGCCTGCAGACACGTCACTCCAATCTCTGCCTCCACCATCACATGGTGCTCTCCCTGTGTCCAAATTTCCTCTTCTCACAAGGACACCAACCACCAGATCAGGGGTCACCCTAATCCAACAGGACCTCTTCTTAACTTGAGTCCATCTGCATAGACCCTTGTTTTCAAATAAGATCACACTCACATGTATGGGGGGGGTGGGCTAGAACTTCAACATACCCTTGTGAAGGGCCTAATTCAACCCGTAACAAGAGGCAGGCAGAAAAGGGAGACACAGAGGGTTGGGTCTGCTTCAACATCGGGCAGCCTCTCCCGCATGCGGAGAGTGTCCCTTGGGTCTATGTGGCTCTACGGGGACAAAACGGATCCAGGGTGGATGCTCCCAAAAGACAGACTTGATTTCAAAACAGGAAGAGTACTGTCACAGAGCTGGACTGGTCACCTTGGGTGGGGGACTCCCACTCGAGGGTCCTGGAGCAGGCTGAGGGCCCCTCTCTCTGATGGGATGGTATCACGCAGATTGTTGCACTAAGTGATTTTCAGGTCCCGGAAGTCCCCAGCTTCTGTGATCCCCGCTGGCTTCATCATGACTCAAGCCTCGCCAGTGCTGGCCCAGCCACCCCCATGCTCAGTGCCTCAGCTCAGTGGGTGACCCCTGCTTTTTTACGACAAAGCAGCCCTGCCCATCATCTCTCCTCCTTTTGGTCTTTCAAGCAGGAGACCGAACTCTCAGAGCTGACAGGGACAAAGGCCTCACTCAGGTCGGGACAGAAGGAATCGTGGGAGCCAAACCCCTTGGCAAACCCTGACATCCCGATTCCAAGGGGGTTTCATGCACCCTCACAGTACCCAAAGAGGTCCCCAGGTCAAACAGGCCGGAGGCTGAAGGCCCACAGGCCACGGTCAGAAGATCTAAGAAAACAATCCACAATTTGTTTAGACCCAGTGAAGATTGCACCAACAATAACATTTACATAAGAAATAGCAGTAACATTGCAAATTAAGCTTGTTTATTTAAAAAAAAAAAGAGGGAAGATCTTGTTCATGATGAGAAGGCAGGCTGTTCTTCAAAACTGCCTTTTCGCCCCAAATACAAGAAATCCAAAGTGCTCACCTCTCCACAGGGTCCCTGAGCATGACGATCAGTTTTGCGTCTGGCTGAAAGGCGTGGATGAAGTCCTGGGTCAGAAAGGGCGGCTCTCCATCTGTGCTGTTGTCATAGAAGAAGGTCCAGGCGTTATTGTCCCACATGGTGGAGGCGCTGGCCTCCCCTAGAAACACAGAACACTGCAGATGAGCAGCGCTGAGTTACGCGCTCCCACGGGGCAGCCTGTGCTAGGGACCAAACCCGGCTCCACCGGGGGCACACGGGACTCCAGGAAGGGAAGCTGACAAGGCCCCTCTGCCACAGTGACCTTCCCCACTCCCACCCAGAGGTCTCTGTCTGGAAATCAAAGTGATCCAGGCAACACTGAGCATCTGCTTCCTCCCAGCTCCTCTCCAGGATTAAAAAAAAAAAAACAACGCTCTCCCAGCATCTGGCCTCCCAATTTCATGATATTTGACATTGCTCATGGTGCACAGATCTATGGCATTTTAAAGGCCCACTGAGAACGTACTAGATGGTTCCCTTCAAAAAGCACCAGGGATGAGGGAGTAGTTTGGGGTAGCTGACACTCCTCAGGAAATTAGATGCAATCTGCATCAGATTTTCCATGAAATCACAACCCATGGCTGGTCCCGGGCACACTCTGAGACCAAACGAGAGGAAGAGTTTATGGGAGGGTTCACAGGACCTCAGTCTGGAGGGTGCTGTGTCCTGCGTGCCTGCCCACCCCATGGCCCTGTACACAGCTGGCACTCACTCTGTGCTGCCTGGGTGGACAGGGAGTGGGTCCAGCCCTTTCTTATCATGGTCTGTATGAATGAAGGATGAAATGTTAAATACACATTCTAGGACAGCCATGAGGCCAAGATATATACGTTTCAACATCTCTTGCTCAGATACTTGAACCAATTCCCTATTTTTTTTAGAAGACTTTTCAGAGATTTAGAAAGAAAGGTAAATCAATCAATTACATACAAATTCAATTTCCCGACATTTTACATGGGTATTTGATACATCTCAAACCCACTTATTCAGGGAAAATCTGAGCCAAAAGACTCGTGTCTTTGATCAGTGATGAGTGCATCACAATAATGCAGGGAGTTGGCAGGGCCTTATCTATTCTGTTGATGTGCAATCACATTCAGGTGAGCATTTCTGTTCTGGTCTTTCGTTTTTTCTTTTTTTTTTAAAAGATAATACCTTAGGATACAAGAAAGACAAGTCAATCAGAAGTCCTTTGAAAATTCTACTCACAATGAATATAAGAATATTAGAACAAGAGAAGTATCTAAAATGAAGGCACAATTCTGTCAAATCTCATAAACAAAGTACTTCTACAACCATAGAAATATTTGTCCATCTGCTAGTCCATCTGTCCATCTGTCCATCCATCCATCCAGCCAGCCATTCATTCACCCTCTGTTCATTTCATATCCATCCATCCAGAAAGCATTCATCTAGTGTCTACTAGGTGCCTGGCACCGTGCTTGGCATTAGGGATAGAGGAGGGAAATAAGACAGACTATCCCGTCTCCTCTCCGACCTCACAATCTAGGGGAGGCTGACAACTCCATAAACAATCAGCTCCCCAGATGAGCACTTAGGGCAGAGCAAGGTGCCATGAAAGCAGAGGCAGGGGCCTTTCAGTGTGTCTAGAGCCCCATCTCTGAGAACCTGGCCACTCGAATCCTTCGGGACTCCAGTCATTAGCCCACCACTGAGGAAAGGCTCTCTCTGACCCCTGGGCCGAGATGAAGACCGACCCTTACGCTGTACCAAAGATCTAACCAGAGGAAGCTGAAGCAGAGCTGAATCACATTCCAGGGCAAGAATGGAGGTGGTCCGACAAGCCCAATGTACAGATGTGCAGGCTGAGTTCAGGAACAGGAAGAGAGACACGTGGCACAGAGCTGGCTGGTGGCATGGGCGGGGCTAGCTGCAGCCTTTCCCTACGCCTCTCCACTACATAAAACTCCCCAAACTCTGCTTTAGGTAAATATCAGAGCAGCGAATGTTTTCTTTTTCCTTTTTAAATCTGGAAGTAGGTAAAATTAGAAAACCAAACTAAGGCTTTCCTTTTTCATTCATTATCTTAGGCTCTATTTCCTAGCCCGAGGATGTATATTTTTAGCTCTTTCATAAGAACATGAGATTCTCTCAGAAGCATACGGTGTGGGAGTCACAGTCAAATATTAATTAGACTTATGATCTGAAGTGTGTGGACCCAAGGCTGCAAGAAAATAGCTAGTAGCCAATTCACACCGGGGTGGGAGTGATGTCTAATCTCATCTGGCTCTCAGAACTTGATTTCTTTGAGTTAAAAAACAAAACAATAAATAACTCAGGGTTTAGGCATGTAAGCCTATCTCCTAGGAGAAGAAGAGTCAAAAGCAAAGAGCCATCTTTTGATTACAATTCCTCTTAGTTGCTAACAGAGTCATTGAATTTGGAGAATCAAAATATAATAGATTTAGGAAAATAAAAATACAGACTGCTGCCTCAGGTAACCAATTTAAGGAAACTATGTGGCCAGATTTCTCTCTTTCAGAAGGTATAAGTAGACAAATGTCTTCTCCTAAGCTGAATCCAATACAAAGAGTGAATAGTTAGGTTTTTTAATAAAAAACGTTCTTACGAATTAAAAAAAAAAAAGATTATTAATCAAGCCACCTCATTTTGAATGTCTAAAGGCATTAACTTGACGGTGGCTAGGCTTTTTCAACAGCAATTAGTCGCCAACAATGCATTAGGGCTGTATCTGTTTCTGGAGTAATTGCCTCTGTCTTCACAGGGCCCTGGGGCCAGGGATTCCAAAAGCCACAGTATTAAATCAATGACTAATTGGTTACCTGTGCTTATGATCCCCCATCCAAACTTAGATCAGTATGTCATAAAAAGAAACCAAGCACGTGTGCTTAATTTAAATAAAAACAAAGAAATGTCAACTTTTAGAAAAAAACCATTACAGGTACATGGGAGTCTCCACAGACCTAAAAAGTCTGCTAAACATTTCTGCTTTACAGAAATTGTGTCAGTGATGTGAACGCTTTACACAGGGGTGAGAGCGACGGCCAGGTCGGGAAGGTGGCAGGCATCCTGCAAATGTTCCGCAGGCCAGAGCAAAAGCCGGGCCAGCCCCAGAGCAGAAGGGTCCCCGTGGGAGTGGGGGCCGGGCCCAGGGCAGGAGCGGCCCCAATGGGGAATCACACAGAAGCCGTACCAATAATGATTCTAGTCATCCTGCTCTGCTCCTTTGCAGAGCCAGCCTGCAGGCCTTGATGAATCTGGTGTGCGGCCAGGTCAAAGAGGTCCAGGTAATCTTCCACGGGGTAGCGGTCCCGAAGCCCATCTCTCAGGCGGACAATCCCTACAAGAACCAAGAAGCAGGAGTTACTGAGGACGAAGCGGCCACTGCTGGGGGGGTGGCCTCCTGGGGAGTGACCGAGAGGGATGTAAAGGCCCAGGGGCCCAGATGCAGCAGCCGAGGCTCCACCCAAGTGAGCTGCCGGAAGGGGCTCGCAGAGAGAATGTTTGCAAATTGGCTGTCCTCGCTAACCTGCTCACTTCAAAGGGTGGAAGACCACTATTCAGGTGCAAGTGGCGGCTTCCAGGATGGCACACCTGTTCAAGAACGATCAACGCATCTGCTTGGAGGGCCAGACTTTGGGGCTGGCTGAGAGGTGCACCAGGTGGGGCCCTGAAGTGGCTGAGCAGCAACAGCATCCAGAATGCACACACTGTATCAAACAGGAAGGGGAGGTTCTTTTTTTAAGATTTTACTTATTTGAGAGAGAGAGACCGAGCAGGAGAGGGGCAGAGGGAGAAGCAGGCTCCCCGCTCAGTGGGGAACCCGACATGGGGCTCCATCCCAGGACCCTGAGCCAAAGGCAGACGCTTAACCAACTGAACCATCCAGGTGCCCCAGAAAAGGGAGTTTTTATCTGAGCTTCTATCTCTGGCCTGTTTGAGCAAGCAGCTTGTCTGTCCAAACAAGGGGAATTGTCCCGGAATCCCGAGACAAACGGTTGAACTCACTAGTTATTCTGCCTTTGACCGATGCAGCCGAAATTTGCCCCTTGCCTTAAAAATGGGTCAATTTTGCATGCAACTCTATTAACAGCACACTACCCCAAACCACAGCCGCCACGGTTAATGGAAAGTGGAGAGAAAACGTCCACGTGCAGAAGAGCAAGAGGTTCGAAGAGACTCTGAGTACCGGATCCCAGAAGCACGCCCCCGAGCTTCCCTCGTCCCCGCCAGCGGGAGGCTGGTTCTCATTAGGGCAAATGGTGAGCTGTGCAGGGAGAGCACCCCACGTTAAACCATGGCTCCCACAGCTGCCTCTGCCAAACCACAAAAGACACATTTACACTCCTGTTCGTTCACTCCAGGAAGAACATCAAAAGGATTAAGTCAATTTGTCAGGAAACAAACAGGGCTTGGTCTAAACTTAGGCTCTATGAAGGCAAACTTTTAAGATGCCCTTCAAGCAACCTGGTCCTTTACATGAAAACACGCCCTCGAGTCCCGCCCCAGCTTTGGCATTTGTCCAAGTGACCAAACGTCCCCTGGCAGAAGGGAAAAGGTTAAGAGGAGGAAACAGTGGCCTGAGGGCTGTGGGGTGGCTCGGGCTGGGTGGGGGCCATGTCCACAGTCGCCCCTGTGAGCAAGGGGTGCTGTGAGCAAGGTCGCCCAGAACCATGTCCATGGGATCTTCCTTCTGAGCTTGAGGCAGAGGGACGAAGCAGGTCAGAGAAAAAAATGAGGCCCAAAGCAGCTCGAAGATGTGTTCACAGCCCTCGGAGGAGCCAGCCAGAAGCTCGAACCTCACCCCGTGTGGCAGCCTCTCTTCCTACAGTGTCCCCCCTGGGGCGGGGGGATGCTCAGGAAGCCACTGTGCAGAGCTGGGGGGGGGCAGCCCCAGGAAAACGCCCACCTGGCACCTGGCACTGGCACTTACCAGTCACCGCCGGCCCGTGTACCAGAGCTCTTCAGGACAAGAACGGCTGCCATTCTGCACCCTTCCCCTTGCCCTGCATACAGCTGGCACTTAATAAATGCTCTCTGGGTGGCTGGGAGCGGGGTCCAGCCCCGTGGATGTTTGTGCGGGCGGCGGGGGGGGGGGGGCGGCGGACTAAAGAACTGCCTGCTTTCTCTGTCTCAGGGTGTTTCCTCACCTTCTGCCCTGCCTCCGGGAAGGCCCTGAGCACCGCGCCCGGCGCTGGCCTCCCCAGACGCGCTGCGGCGGCCAAGCGGGGCTTAAGGACCAAAGGACTGAGGCAGGAGGCGGGACAGGAAGAGGCGCTGCGCGCGCACGCACGCACGCCCCGCCCCTCGCGGCGACCCCTCCCAGCGACCTCCCCTCCCCTCCCCCCCCCCCCCCCCCCCGCGCTCACCAAAGCGCTTCCGTGTCCACCAGTGGGGCTCCTTGATGGCGGAGAACTTGACTTCCGGGTGCAGCCGCAGGCGGTCGTAGAGGTCGGTGGTGCCGCACTTAGGCTGCCCGATGATGTAGAAGCGCGGCAGGCAGCGGAGGCGGAAGTGCTTCCCGCTGGCGTGGGACAGGTGGCCCCAGAAGGCCTTGCGCAGGGCGTCAAAGGTGGAGCGGAAGCGCTTGGAGTAGAGCACGTAGGAGTTGGTCAGGTACGGGTCGGTGGTGTTCCTGCCCGTGAACTCCTCGTACCAACAGGGGCTCTTGCTATTTGGAAGAAACTTCTTGGGGATTACTGAAAACATCTGCGACGAAAGAGAAAGAGAGGGAGAGACACACGGAGGGGGGAAGTGAGCAAAATCACGTTCTAACCGTGACGCGGTCATGCCCTGATCCTCGCTAGAGCGCTCACATGTGAAGTTTTATTTGACAAGGGCTAAACACTAACATAAAGCAAAACGTGGCACATGGCCAAGACCATGTTTTTCCTTAGCCCAAAATAAAACCGAAATTTGGAGAGAATGAAGATAAAAGCTTACTCAAAATCCATCCTACATGCACACGCCAGCGCACACAGCAATCTAATTAAATTTCACAGTTGGAATCTTTTTACTAGTTGCGTATTTAGACGACCATCAGAGACAAAAATACTAATTAGGACACAATAGAAACAGGATGATGGTGATCTACAAACACAAGTTTAACCACCATGGCGGCGTTTCAAGGCCTCCAGTGGAATTACGAGAAGGGCGGTCCCTGGGTAGGTCTAGCTTCGCCATTCAGTACCTCGAATTTCCTCCTTGGTGTAAACATGGTGAACAGACAGCCCTCTTCCGGGGCCTTCTGAGCTGTGAGGCTGTCAAATTATCCTTGTTACACCTGAGACATTTTTTGGTCATTTCTCTTTACTGTGTTCCCAAAGACGGTGACAGAAAAGGAAGCATCTATTTTTAAAATTCAATCTGTCAGTCAGCTGAGATTAGCACAAGGCTACTCACGTGCAATTCCTGCTTCTTGAGATCTTCTATGTCTGGGAGCTGCCTGGTCGTGAATTCTATCCTGGCTGTGATGCTGTTGATAATTAATTTAATGCTTGGGTAGTCTTTCACGTATGAAATATTATTTACAGCGGGTTGGTGATGATGCTCTTTCACGTCACTAGGGTTTTCTCCGTCCATCAAGCTGGGATTGCTGGGGAAAGCTCCATAATGGAAAGGCGAGGAGATCAGAAGCTCTTGGTGGGCCCCAGAAAGGATGTACGATGCCATCACCAAGGTCATGATCATCAATCCAAACACGAGGCTACATCGCTTCCCCTTCTTGAAGCGCAGAAACCTGCCCCAGCTCTCATTCCCCTCGGCCCTTACCTCGAGAACAGCAAGCAAGTTCATCTGTTTACCGTCCACCCGTAGCACAATTTTGTTCTCTCCTTTGCACGCAGGGCACTCCGGGTGACCGTGAAGGGGGCCTCCTCCGCAGCCGACCTGCTGTTTGTGCTCGTTGTTGGGCAACAACTGTATGCAGCAATTAATGCAGTGCCTCATGGTAATGCCCTTGGACGGCTGGCCCACAGAGCCATGGGCGAGGCCCTGAGGAGCCCGGATGCATGCAAGTTGTGCTGGAAAAACTTATTTAAGGATGTCTTTCGATTAGATAAGATGGTTTTAAGGCACAAGCAATGGAAACAAATAGAATATAAAAATGAGCAGGCACCAAAGCCCTGGAGAATGAGGAAGGGCCTTCTTTGGTTCAACTCCAAAAGACAGCAAAAAGAAGTGATCTCCAACTGTCATGTTCTGTAAGAGCTACTGCAATCTTAGGGGGAAAAAGCCCACATGTGTGGGAGCAATTCTGCCTGTCCTTCAGGTTTTTCCCATGGCACAAAATGAAATGGAAGAATTCTCGCTGGAGAACATGGAGACACCCAGGAGATTAGAAGAGATCATGATCTCAGCAAGGGATGGGTCGGCCTGCCATCCTTGGAGAGGCCCCCGTGAAGATTTCTTTTTCTACATCCCGTGCTCCTTTAAAATGTTTCCTCTTCAAGGGGAGCAAAATCTTTAAAATGTCAGATTACCTGAACAACAAAGAAAAGAGGTTTTATTACATGATGTGATGATAGCCATAACCCTGGGATCACCTTCCCAGGAGAGAAGCTCTCTTTTCCACTCCTAGGTTTCAGTCTGCTGGGTCACAAGCAAGTCATAGAAAATCACATGGGATAAAAGGAGAGCTTTCTGGTCCTTGGTGCTTGGCTTTGGGGTTCAGTCTCTGCCACCAAATGTGGCTCCAGCACCAGCCCCACCAGCACCACGTCAAACACCTCATATTTTGCACAGCCCATATATCCTCAAATGTCCCAGCCATGCCAAAGCTAAGTACCGAATCCCCGAGTCTCAAGACTTCATAGTCATTCCCAGATGCATGAATGGTCAGTGACTGTAAGTTGAGAGATGAACTGAAGCATCTGCGCTTAATATCCAAAAAGCAGCCTGGTTAGGGTAGGAGCATGCAGAGAAAATGTTTTGTCTCTCCCAATAGCACCCATAGTCTCTTTTTATTTTTATTTTATTTTATTATGTTAATCACCATACATGACATCATTAGTTTTTGATGTAACAATCCATGATTCATTGTTTGCATATAACACCCAGTGCTCCATTCAGTACGTGCCCTCTTTAATACCCATCACCAGGCTAACCCATCCCCCCACCCCCCTCCCCTCTAGAACCCTCAGTTTGTTTCTCAGAGTCCATAGTCTCTCAGCACCCATAGTCTCTTACGAGAACTAACCTTTATTATCAGTTTACGAGGAAAAAGTTAATGAAAATTTAGAAACACTGGAATGATTCTCTCCTTCAGTAGAGTGCATCATATAAAAAAACCCATTTGACTTTAAGTTATTAAGCAATTAAACCCAACGTGCAGTATTCCCCTGAGTAACATAACACTCAGACCCTGAAATCATTTTTCACTTTCATCATCCTGGGGAAAACATGATTCTTAAAAATCCATTAACAGAATTCTGTGGTTATAAAATGTATTGTTGCCCAAATGATGACACTTATTTTTAGATGTTGTAAAAACGGCAAAAAAGGAGACTTAGTTTCCAATAATGGCAGACCACCACTAACTAGCTGTGTGACCTCCAGTGGGCCATATAACGTCTCTGAGCTTTTCCTCCCTGCCCAGTAAAATTAGGGTAAAACTACCTCCCTTATAAGCTTGCAGCAAGTACTAAATTAGTTAGCACACATAAAGAGTTTGCTTAATGCCTACACATAGTTATTAGTGTCCCCTAAAATGTAGGCAACATTAATAATAGCATCATCAATGACCATTACGATTATGATTTTTAATTGTCGGTGAATGCCAAGAATGTTGCAAGTGGAATGAAAGATGGGAGATCCTATCACATTATTTTTCCTTAGGGCTTGAGAGTTACCCAAAGGCAGTAGACTCACCTCCAACTTGACACACACACATAGCCCTCAAATAATCCTACCTGTCCCCAGAGAAGATGGAATTAACCTACCCTGAGTTAAAGCCTCCTTGTATTGGCTGGAAGGCTGAATAATGAGGACTCACCAGCAGGAAACTTCCCTTCCCTTGGACAGAAAGGCCTGTGCTTTATCAAAATACACTGATCAAGAAATAGCCAAGCAGTGCTTCCTAAGGTGTCTCCCACTGAGTGTTCTGCACATTGTTGTTATGTGTTCTGTGCTTAAATTACTCGGAGAAAAGTAAGATGGAGGCAAACAGACTTCTTTACAACAGGACTTTTGGGGGCCTTTAATATGCTCATGAGCCCTGTGAATCCACAGGAGAGGAATGTAAGATGCAAAATTTCCAAAACATAAATGGCCACGGAATTCTCACTAATGTCGCAAGGAACCAGCTTGTGAAATGCTAGTTAGGGGAGGCCAATATTGGGGTCAGGGCAGTTCTGGGAAGAGCAGAGGAGTGGGGGCATGCGGGAGCAAACTGTTCTGGAACCAGGCCAACACCCAGGGCTCCGCCGCCCGCACATCTCTTGAGAGCAGTTGGAGGGACGTGACAGGAGCCTCAAGGCTCAAATCCCTGCCTCCCATTCACTCAACCACCCTTGACCCATCACTTGGTACAAACAATTCTTCCAAACCAAAGAAACAAAAGGGCAAGATCCCCTACTTGGAAATCCTATCGCTAAGCCAAGAAAACATTTTTTTACATGTTAAAAAGACAAGGCCAGGCGAGGCTAAAAGAAGGCTCCAACCAGGATCTCAGTGGGGAGTGTGTTCACACCCTTCTGTGTCTCTGGCTGCAGAAAGTCTAATTAGATTTTTTTTTTTTTAAACAGAGTCTTTGAAGCTCCAAGACAAGAATGTACAAAATCTGGACCCAACAGAATGGGCAAAATATTCCTAAACAAAAACAAAGCTTTCTTCTTACAAGCCAAGTAAGTAAAGAGATGTGGGTCGTCAGGGAAGCTGACAGGCTCAACAGGGAGGCTCCGGGACATGGTGAGCCCAAGCATTTATACCCCTGGGCAGGCTGCACCCTCCAGCCAGACCTCTACTCCAGTCTTGCTTCTGAAACATAAAACAGCTCGGGAGCCGAGACCTGGGGCGACAACTCATTCACCTGTTTGTTCCTTTGTTGGGCAGATCTCTTCAGAAGGGGAGCTTGGAGCAGGCACTGCTGTAGATGCAGTGGGGTTGTGGAGACCCAAAGCCAACAGAAGATGGGGGGGCAGGTAACAGAATAAAAAATAAACGTGGTCTTTGTCCCCAGTTCCTGGCAAACAGCTTCTAAAACCCTTGGAATTTCCTAAGTGAAGGGGTGAGAGGAGCATCTTTTTTGTTCTTCATGACAAGCCTCATTCAACCACAGCTGAATTTATGCTAATGAGATGACTCTTGGGGGAACCCCTGATAGCTTCAGGATGGGGCTGGTGCCCAGAAAGCCTAAGCCTCTATTAGACAGAAGGTTGGAACTTACAGCCCCACTTCCCCAACCTCCAGGGAGGTGAGTGAGTTAATCATCAAGGGCCAATGATTTATTAATCATGCCTATGTAATGGAACCTCCATCAAAAGCCCCGAAGTGACAGGAATCGGAGAGTTTTCTAGTTGGTGAACGCATGGAGGGGCTCGAAGGGTGACTCCCCTCCCCTCCCCCCATGTCTTACCCCAGGCATGTTTTTCATCTGGTTATTCCTGAGCTGTATCCTTTATAACAAACTGGTAATAGTAAATAAGGCACTTCCCTGAGTTCTTGGGAATTATCAGACCTGGGGAGGGCCTTGTGAGAACCTCGAAATTTGTAGCCAGATCAGACAGAAGTTGGGTAGCCTTGGGACCCCATACTTGTAACTGGCATCTGAAGTTGGGGCAGTCTTGGGGGACTGAGCCCTTAACTTGTGGGGTCTGTGCAAGCTCAGGGTATTTCCTACGGGAACTGAACTGAATTGTAGGGCAATTCAGCTGGTGTCTGGAGAGCTGGGGCTTGTTTGCATGGGGAAACAATATAAAACTATCTTATAAGTTTTACCAAAACATATGACCAGTATCTAGTATGTAAAATACGCCTTGATGATGTCGATTAAAAATAAGTCCTATGACCATATCCCATACACAACCAGGGCCCTTGTCAGTGCAGGGCCTGGAGCTTTGAGGCTTCCAGACCAAGCCCTGGCTGACTGGACGGTAGTGGTACAGAAGAAACCACGACAGGGAGGCTTTTCCCCACCTGGAGCTTATATCCCGCCAGGATTTAGGGGCTACAGGGCAACAGACAATGAATGTGACAAAGGAATAAGATCATCTCAGACACCAATAAAGGCTATGAAGAAAATACAAAAGGAGAATACAATGAAACCATGACAACAGGCATTCTCTAATGCAGCACTAGGGCCAGATCATTCTTCATGGTCAGGGGCTGTTCTGTGCGCTGACCTCCACCCCCAGGTGAGACTTGCAGCCTGACAGGAAAGGAGGTCCAGCAGCAGGATGTCCAGAGAAGAGTAGTTGGGAGGGAATGCCTGAATGACGAGAAAGAAGCCAGCCACATGGAGATCAGGAGTATTGGGCTGAGATTTGTCCGAGTGCAAAAAAGGATGCACGTCAAATAATCTCTCAAAAGGATCTTTACAAGATGTACAACTATCAACTAATGTAACGCAGTGAAGAAAAATCAAATTAATGTGACTGTATCGAAGCGAAAAGCATTGCTGTTCTACTCCTGAATTGGCCTTTTCCATATGCCACAAATCATCCTGAGAACAGTCCCGCAGAAACCTCACACTCAGGTGGTTCTTCCTTAAAAAAATAAGCAACGCATGTCCCTTGCACTTTACCTGTCTGGAATGTTCCCGTTTTGGTGCCAGTCGACTCAGGTGAGTCAGGACCCTTGGCACTCCCATGCAGATACTAAACCAAAGTACTCAGGTATACATTTCAGTGAGATCGCTTCCCAGCCTGGGCTCAGTGCTGGGCCTGACGGAGGCAGACAGCAAGTGTGGGAACCCATACCCCTGTGCGAGATCAGATCACTGGTCCCAAAATAGAAAGCGTTCAATTACCCAGCCCTGGCTAGGATGCCCCCTATTAACCTGTGCACCCCAAGCATCATTAGCAAGCCATTTATAACAAAATTGTAATTGAGAGACCCAGAAATACCACTTTAGAGTAAGTAATTGAATGCCCCCTCAGTGTAAGATCGATAAAGGGCATCCAATTTCACCCTAGGAAAAACTTATTAAATTATTGTAGCTATGAGCTGATACAGCAGAAGAAAGATGTACAAAACTTCAAAAGAAATCTGGACGGATTTAAATAAATAGCTTCATTTAGGCAGACCATTTACAACTGCCCTCTGGGAGGAGAGAGGAAAAAATAGCTAATTACATTATTTTACTTGAATGTTTTAAGGAAAAAAAAAATTTTGATGGGTCTTAAGTAACCTCTACTAAAACACAAGGCTTTCTTCTGATTAGCATGTCTAACTGCTGACATTTCTCTTTGGGCTATGTATATGGAAATACATTTCTTCAAGGAACATTCATCAACAAGTACAAGAAGGAATATTTTTCATATTT